TGTGTGGCAGAGAGAGAGAGAGAGAGAGAGAGAGAGAGAGAGAGAGAGAGATCCTGTTTCAAACAAGGTGGAAGTCCAGGACTGACTGAATGTTGTCTTCTGATTTGCACACACACATTATGTCATATGATTCTCGCACATGCAAGCGTGCACACACACACACACACACACACACACACATACACACAGACACACACAATCTTCTGATACCCAATAAAGTATTAAACTCTACAAGGCACCCAGATGCTTCACAATTAAAAGCATATACAAAAACAAGGCGGTGGGGATGCACACCTTTTTTTTTTCAGCTTTAGTTTTTAATTGAACTGGGACTACAAAAAGACCACTTGCATTTTATGTCTGTAGAGAACAACAGAAACAAACATTTGGGAAGATTTATGAAATTTTATCTTGTTGGAAATGTGATATACCAAGGGACCAATTTGCTCTTGTTCTTGGTAAATATTTTCTGGATGATTTTTCCTTTTTCTTTAGATGTCTCATTTGTCCAGTGGTCTTCAGATTCCTTACCTTGATGCCTTTGTTTTCCTGAAAAGACAAAAAGAAAATCTACTCCAACCCCAACTTTGGGGAGTTTCTCTTATCGTAAGTTATATCTGATCAAATGAAAAGTAATTGTCAGTTTTAAAGTTAGTTTAGATTGAATTGCCATGCTGTTTGATTAAATTCATTCTTCTAATCAAGGGATGTCTCTTGTTCAAATCTAATCTTTAGGTGATGTACACCTTTAATCCCAGCACTCAGGAGGCAGAGACAGGTGAATCCCTATGAGTTCAAGGCCAACCTGGTCTACAGAGATAGTTCCAGGACAGTTAGGGCTTTTGCACAGAGAAACCCTGTCTTGAAAAATCAAAAAAGGAAAGAAGAGAGGAAAGGAGGGAGGGAGGGAGGGAGAGAGGAAGGGAGGGAGGGGGGGAGGGAGGAAAGGAGGGAGGGAGGAAGGAAGGAAGGATATACAATGTTACAATGTTTTTCTGCATTACACAGAAAGTGGTCTCATGGATGGAGACAGTGTGGCTACAGTTCTCCAGCATCACAGCCCTGTATGCAGACTGCTGGCTTGTCCTGGGTGAAGCCCACAGTCACATCTTTAAATGATGTGAGTCCCTGGAATTTTTCTTCCATCTGAAATAGTTAAACTTGGGTGTTACGAAAAAAGATGTGTGGGGTGAATCTTTACTGATTACTGCTTACAGCTCATCAAAATGCTTTTAGAATATTTGCTTCATTTTTTGTTTTGTGGGAGAAGGCAATAATAATAGGAACATGTTGCCATAGTGCCAAGTTAAACATTTATGGGAAAATGAGCAAGTCCCTAATGTACTCTGGAGATTCATTTAATAAAAATCATGTATATAAGGACCTGATATGAAAACATAGGTTATGAAGTGCTACATTACAATAATAGAGATCATACAACTTAAGCATACAAAGGATGAGCAATATTAGTTATTTTTAGCTTCTCAGAAGCTTAAGACCAAAGCACAAGGAAAGACAAGGATATTTTAGGACATTCAAGAAATTAGTCACAGAACAAACAGCATAGGACATGAGGATATGACCTGATGCCAAAACAAGAAAAAAAAACCACAGAGGACTTAGGGACTTGATTATAAAGTAATTTGGACCAACATTCTCCAAAGCACTGACTATCTAAGAGGACAGGCTTATTTACTTGTTTATTCTTAAGCAGTGAGTTTTACTTCACCGCTTGTCTTTCCTAACACTAGCCATTTAAAGTTAGAGTAGCCCTTAAGGTGCCACAGACCATTACATGTTAGTCTATTTTTTAATATATTTTTATTTTATGTGTATGAGTGTTTTGTCGCAGGTATGTCTGTGCACCATGTGCTTGCAGTGCTCTCAGACGCCAGAAGAGGGCAGCAGATTCTCCGAAGCTGGAATTTCACAGTTGTTGACCACCATGTGGGTACTTCGAACTGAACTTGGGTCTTTAGCAAGAACAGGTGCTCTTAATCATTGAGCCATCTCTCCAACCCAAGGGCTTGGTTTCTAAGTGTGTGTGGAAGGCCTCAACAAATCACTGGGGTAGGCTCCAAGAAGTTAGTGTTTGCTTGTTAAAATGGAGGACTTTGGGTTTTACTTTTACATTTTTTTTAACTCTACATTGGGCATATGTGTAACTGTCCTGAAGCTATACTTAAGAGAGACACTTGTGTCCCCTCCCTTAGGCTATCAGAATATCTACAGAATAAGACCTAATGAGTTGGAATTTTTCCAGAGGAAAGACAAGGCTGGGTGCTTGATGCCAACCAAGGGAAAAGCTTCATCACACAGTATTCATGATTTATGTGACCCACTGGGAGCCCCGGTCAGGAGCAGAGACGATGCGGGTCCAGTATTCAGGACCACACTTGGACTAGGACTATTTGGCTGTGCATACTTCTTCTACTCATCTAAACTAACCTCAAGTCGGTACCCTGAAAGTGGACCTTAGGATGGCTGATGCTGGTCCTCCATGCTGAAGGACATTCTCTTCTTTGCTTTGTTCCTGTTACTTGTAGAGACCACACACACACACACACACACACACACACACACACAACTAAAGGTTTGAAAATAAAAAGCCAGGTTCTGACTGCTGGGCTTCTGACCCAGTAGCCTGCTTTAACAGTAACAATTAGGGCCTAACTGGTAACGACTCTGACATCTCACCCCAAATGGTCAGTTTCAAGGGGACAGGGTGCAGACTGAAATTCACTCCCCTGTTACTGAGCTTCCCTCTTGATCTCATTCAAACCCATCCCACACACCAGCCTTGCAGGCAAAGTAGGTGACTCACCTTAAGAACAATCCTATTTCCTCTTAGGGGTGCCATTTACTCCCTAGCTGCATACTGTATTTTTGTGTACAGTGTCTATTCTTTATTAAAACCTTTCTATCAATTCTGGTTGGTAACACTATGAGAGAAAGTCCTGTACCTTTCACTGAGTCTTCTGCAATGCTAACTAACCAACTAGGACTTCAATGATTATGGAGAGCTTGGCATGCTGAAGTCCAAAGCCAAGTTATTACGAACCACCTTTAGTGACTGCACACACACATAGCCCTGACAGACAAGGTCTTGCTATGCACCCCTGGCAGGCCTGGAACTTGCTATGAAGAACTTGCTCTGTAAGTTTGAGGCTAGCCTGCCTCAAATGTGCATGCATTAAAGGTGCTGGCATAAACGGCACATGCTACCTTGCCCCTGCAACGTTATCCCTCTTAATACCTGTTGTTTGCCCTCTTCTGTATGTAAGCTAACATCTCTGTGACCACTGGGTACATTGTATGGAGTTTACAGACATCCAGTCCCCACCAATCAAAGGGCTATGCGTGTCATCAGATAGAATCTGAGGCTTATAGCAAAGGTTTTTCCACTTGATGCTAACCTACCTAATGCTTTCACTAATGTATTTGAGTATCCTGACTTAGACTTCTTTTGTTTCATTATAAAGGCTTTGAGATGGACTAGAGAGATGGATCAGTGGTTAAGAGCACCAGGTGCTCTTCCAGAGAACCAGGGTTCATTTCTCAGCACCACTTTATGGCTCACAACTGATCATAGTTCTCTCTTGGTCGGGGGATCAGATGTCCCCCTTCTGGCCTCATCATACATGCCACACACGGTACACAAACATACATGCAGGCAAAACACCCATATACATAAAATAAAATAGCTCCATGAAGCTGCTTCCACGTTGGAACATGAAGTTTGGGGTACCCTAAATCTGTGCTCCAGGACCAGAATCACTAAATTTGGTTCCAAAGTCATCTTTTTCTTATCCCCTTGAGGCAAGAGCTGTGATTCTGTGTCAATTACCCTGAATCTTGCAGGCTGTTTGTTCCCATGGTACCATTGTCTTTTTGATTGCTTTGTTGAGACAGGGATTCTTTGTGTAGCCCTGGCTGTCTTGGAACTCGCTCTGGAGACCAGGCTGGCGGCCTCGAACTCAGAGATCCACCTTTCTATGCTGGGAGTAAGGGCCCATTGCCACCCGGCAGTACCATCTTCTCTTAAGTTGGCCCTATGAGGACTAGTGGGTGAGCCTGGCGTCCTAGGGCCACTAGGGCTCAGCCTTTGCTCCTAAAAGCTCTGACACCATACAAACGTATAATATATACATTTTATGAGTAGCGATTGTAATTTTCTTATGAAAGATTTAATATTTCTATATTTCTAAAGTTAAGTACATTACAAACTGAAGTTACCAGTTATCAACAAGTTGTTTTACATATCCAGTACGTCCGTAGTGAGATGGTAACAATGACATCTGTATCAGTAGGATAAGCTTTAAAATTCTTAGGGAAGTAACGTGTATGACACTTTACTTGATGTCTGGTCTTTGGTTTATATATACTACACACACACACACACACACAGAGTTTCTCATGTTTCGTGTTCTCATTTACACAGTTTTGAAAGCTAGCAACCCTAGGACAAAACTGTGAGATCTCTGGGTGTACAATCACACTTGGTTTCAACTACATACGCTACCCCCAATACACGCGGCACAGCCTCAGACAGCGTCTGTCTTCCCTTCCAGGGTGCCAATTGCTAACTCAATCATTCCCCTAAAGACCAGGCCTGAGGGGAAGCGGTGCAGCATTCCTCAGCGCCAAACTTCGTAACGTGATCCAATATGGAGTCGTCGCGGAGGCTGCTGGAAAGCGTAGTTCCCCGCGAAGGGTCGTTCGGCGCATGGGCGGAGCCCTCGTCTGTCACCCGCGGAAGTTTTGTCTTCCGCCCAGGGGGCGTCGGGGGCCGGGGGGGGGGGGGGGGGGGGGGCCAACGACAACGCTGCGGCATCCCCGGCCTGGGGACCTCGGAGTGCGGCGGGCGCGGCGGGCGCGGCGGGCTGGAGAGCACGGAGGCGGAGGAGCAGCGGGCAAGGCGGGCAAGGGGGACACGGGGAGGGGCGGGCTGGGGAGGAGAGGGGAGGGAAGGGGAGGCCGGCCTGAGCCGCAGCCCAAGTGACGTGGCGCCCACTCGCAGCTTCCTCGTCCGCTCGCCACGTCAGCATCCACCCGCTTCTCAGCCACCCCCGAACGTCTGCAGCGGAGACCGCGGGACTCCCTGACACGGCTGTCACCGAGGTGAGACTCGCCCGGGGCGCACGGAGCTGGGCAGTCGTGCAGAGAGAGGAGGAACTGCAGGGCGGGATGCTTCCCAATGGCCCGCGCTGGGTCCTTTCATCTCGGCCTCCGGTGGCCATCACAGAGGCTATTCCGTTTACCCAGGACCTGCGGGTGCCTTAATCCTCTATTGTTTTACTCTGTGGTTGCCGCCTGTTCCTGGCAGTCACGCCTGTGGTTGCTTTCTGCTCAGCGACTGAGAACACAGCGATGAAGCATACTTGATCATATCTGGAGTCTTCTATTTCTAAAAATTCTTGAACCTCCTCTCGATTCCTTAGTGTGAACGATTAATTGAGGCTCTCCCTACATCCCTCAACCAGCTTTTGTTAGACTGTTGAGCAGTTATTTGGAAGAACAGCATTACTTTTAAAAACATCTTTCAATATTAAATTTCACTGAGAAGCTGAATATCGTATTCGCCCTCAAAGAGAATAGAAATGAGACTGGCCGGGGGGAGGGGTGCGTGATCTGCTCACGTAGCTCCAGACTAGTTTGGAGCTGTTGAGCCTCCCGCATCAGCCTTGCCACCGTGTCTAGCAGAGACATTTTTTTCCTTAAAAGATGAAAATTGTAGTTCATTTATATTCTCAGTTATGAAGGCGATTTCCTAGTGCGGATGATTGGCTTATTTGTATCTGATCTTATTACCTTACACTTACATATTAGGCATTTTCTAAGCACCCTGCTGGCTGGATTTGAGCATTTTGTTTCTTTAACTGTATCCACGATATGCCTGTTTAGGGACTGTGGTACTAAAACTGTTGTCCAGTTAATAACTTTTTTTGAAACAAGGTCTCATTACCTTATTACATTAGGTACATGTACCTAATACTTATTACATGACCAGTATTCCTAGCTCTCAGTGTGTAACTTAAACTGGCCTTGTTCTTGCCAGCCCTCCGCCTCCACCTTTCCATGATGGTTAAAGGTATGCATCACCACATCTGGCTTCAAATTGATATTTTGGGGGTTGATTTGTTTCTAAACTAGATTTGGGAGCCATGTCAAAGTTCATTGAGATTTGATTAAAATTTACCCCAGATTTAGGCTCTTTTGAGAGGATAGTCAATTACAGGGATCTAGGCGTCTTGTGTTCCTGTGTCAAGACTGACTAAAGGTTGCAGAAAGCGTTGTTCACGATTGCCTAATTCCTCTCATTCTAAAGATAACAGCTTTGAGCTGGGCGGTGGTGCGCACACCTTTAATCTCAGCGCTTGGGAGGCAGAGGCAGGTGGATCTCTGGGAGTTCAAGGCCAGCTTGAATTGTTATCTCAGTGAGACCATTTCTGGGGGTGGGGGGATGGTGAGAGATAATGGCTTTGAAACTAAGTCCCTATATTAGCAGCTGACCCTGCAACAGAACAAAGGACAAAATGTATCCCATGTAAATAAAAATGTATCATTTGTAAGATTCTTGAAGAAGTGTTTTATTTTCTTTTTGCTCTGAGAAAATGTAATTTAGGCAGAAGAAAAGTCTCATGTTTGAAAGCTTTGAAATGACTTTCTAACTTCGGAGGGGGGGTTGTAATATTAACAGAAAAAAAATGTCTCCAACATAAACACGGATCTCAGTGTGCGTATGTTATAGCCCCTTTGAAATTAATCTGTCATTCAGTGTTTAAGTGTTCAGTTATTTTGTGTTAGTAAGCAGACACATGCTTTTCAAACAGTTGGAATGTTTAGATTTAGTAAAGGAAAAAATGTCTCAGGCTCATCAAGATTGTATTAGAACTATCAATAGATAGATGAGTTTTATTTCATGGTCATCCTTCTGATCTGATCCAAAGCACAGCTTCTCTGTAGACAGTACTAAAATGTTGTATGTAAATTTCTCACAGGAGACCCGGAACTGTGGCTTACGGTTTCTTATGGCTTCGCTCTCCCAACTTTAAAGGGTAGAAACCCCTTCTAAAAGCACAACAGAAAATGAACAAGTTCAAGGTGAGTAACTTAATTAGTTTAACTCTGTGTGTGCACACACATGTTCAGCGAGGTTTTTCCAAAGAGACTCTGCGGGGTCGGAGAATTGACTCAGTGGTTAAGAGCAGCTGTTGCTCTTGCGGAGGACCCTGGTTTGATCCCCAGCACCCATGTGGTGTCTCAAAACCATTCATAACTCCAGTCCTAGAGGATTCAATGCCCTCTTCCGACCTCCACAGGCATTTACATGATGCACAGTCATACATTTATGCACGCAAAACATTCATACATATAAAATAATAAAATAAATAAATCTTAAAAAGTGAGTCTCTGTATTAAATTAGGAAAGTACGACTGGTTTAAAATCTTCTTCAGGGTTGAATAAAACAGTAGCTTTCAAAGTATGGTCTGCAGAGCCCAAGCACCCTCAGCCTCTTTCAAGGGATTTGGTAATGTCAAAGACATATGAAAGGTATTATGACCTTTGACATCACTTTATAGCTGCAATTCTGCTACTGTTATGAATCGTAATGTAAATAGCTGTGTTTTCCAATGGTCTTAAATGACCCCCATGAAAGGATTGTTTAACACCCCCCCCGAGCGTCATGACCTACAGTTTGAGAACCACTGCTTTAAAGACATAAGGTGACTGATCTATATTTAACTTTCAACATAGAATGAAGACCTTGCAAAAAAAAAAAAATAGGATAGTGACACAAATTTTAATTTCATTGGATTTTTGCAAAGAGCCAAGTAAAAGATTTCTACTTTCCTTAAGAACATCTTCAATGGAACAGTAAAAACTTACTTTTTGATATTAAAAGATAATGAGAACACACTTTCCTGATTCCTTACCATACGTCACATTCACATTTATCCTTAATGCCACTGTAAAAATTGCTGGTTTTGTTAACCCTTGATCATTAAGTGCACATCTTTGTAACATTGTGTGGTGGAATGGGACGTTCACATAACGCCCCTCTGCCAATCCGGAACTGTAGCGATTGGTGCCCAAGGGCAAGCACTTATTTGATTTTTATGCAAATATCTTGACAGTTTTTCATGGAATATCTTTTATATTTGAAAGAATTGGCAGAAAACTATAGTTCTTGAGAATTAACAGAGTCTTACTATGTAGCTCTGGCTTGACTGGAACTCACAGAGATCTTCTTGCCTCTGCTTTGGAAGTGCTAGGATTAAAGGTGTTTGCCACCACAAGACCAGCAACAAACTTTTTTCTTAATTTTATGAAAATCTGTCACTTCTAGAAAAACATCCGTTAGTGTTTTTGTTTCTTTTTTGCTAATTTTAAAATTTGATTAATGTGAAAATCAGAATTTTGGAAAATGTATGACCTCCATAATGAACTGAACGTGACAACTTCCTAAAGAATTCTCTGACTAGGTCACTTACGTTTTTAACAAATATGATTTTAAAAATAAATGTAAAATTAATCAGAATTTGACTAACATTTCTGATTTACGTTCAGTAGTGGAGTCAAGCAATCTGAAAGCAAAGTTAAAAAAAAAGATCTTGTGTTTATTGGAGAGCGCTGTTCTCAAATGTAATAATTGAGGAGACGCCTGAATTTAATAAGAGGGAACTAATTGGAGATCAAGAATGTCATTACAAAACCACAACACTCAAGTCAGAAGGAATGAGAGACAGCTTATTCTGGAGCAAATTACGATTGGCTGTGGCTCAGGAACATAGACTCCAGGTACCTCAAATACCATGTCCCAAGTTGAGGACAATTTAATGAAGTTTTTGTAATGACAGAAGAAAGTTATCAAAAAAGGTGCCTTAAAATAAATAAGCGAAAGCCTCAGGGTGTCAGGTTACAGTGAAGTAGGGCTGATATAAGCCCCAAATACTATCTCATGACGTTGTTGGTCCTGCATTGATGGAAGCTGGGGGTCTGTTTGTATGTTCCAAAAGGGAGTTTTAACAAGGAGGGATGTTAGGCCAAACACCAAGGATGGAGATGGATGGCTGCTAAGAAGGATGCAGTTGTTCAGCCAGTAGAATCTTTAGCACAGGTGCAGCCCCTTTTCTGGGCACTTCAGTTCATAGTTCTCCTTGGTGGTTAAGTAAGCATCACATTCTGTGCGTGCAGAGGACAAATGTTGTTTGATGTCCCGTGATGGCAGAGAGACTGATTCCTAAGATCTGGTGCAGACAAGGCTCAGTAGGCAGGGATGCCATCTTCAGGAGAGAGATCCAGTTGGTAACATCACTATAGAAGCAACCCCTGAATCAAATCTACTGGCCACCATGAACTGGATCTGACCCCTCCCCCCGTCTCTTACATACCATATGCTTTGACATAAAATAGGAATATTATATCTAAACTTAAAAGGACCAAGAACACAGTGTGGCCTTGTTGCATTATACACCCTTTAGCTGCACCCCCAGCGATCAGGCCATGTCATCTTCTAGCTCCCTCTCTGGGACAGAGTTGACACATGAATTCACAGAAACCGTGATTGCACTATGCGTAAGTTCAAACCAGAAAAAAAAATCCCAGCACAAAGACAAGAAAATGGACTCAAAGTCCCACCCCTAACCAAGAATTATTTGCAACTGAAATCTGCTGGGAGAGGGAAAATCCGTTTTCTCCTATAGAGTGTTGCTGGGTTGCTGTCCACACTCCAGGGCAGGTCCCATGACCTGGCATAGTTGGCCAGCACAAAACTGACTTCAAGTTAGGGTTTTTGTATGATTTTTTTGTTTTGTTTTGATTTTTTTGTCAGATTGGTTTTGTTTTTATTTGAGGAGAGAGAGAAAGAGAGAACATGAATTGGGGTGGATGGGGAGGTAGGAAAGACCTATAAGAAGTTAGAAGAGGGGAACAAAACAATATAATCAAAATGTGTGAAATATTTTAATTTAAAAATTCAACAAAAATGACAAACATTTTTTTTTAACCAACAGGAGGAAACATGGTATTTTTTTAAAAGATTTATTTATTTATTCTTATGTATACAACATTCCTTCCATGTATGCTTACATGCCAGAAGAGGGCACCAGATCTTATTATAGATGGCCATGAGCCACCATGTGGTTGCTGGGAATTGAACTCAGGACCTCTGGAAGAGCAGACAGTGCTCTTAACCTCTGAGCCATCTCTCCAGCCCCCAATGATAAACATTCTTAAATTAGATTGGGAAACACTGCAAGCATTGTTTTAAGGTTTCATACACGTGTATAATGTGATCCTGGCTACAGAATGCCTCCATCTTTCTGTCCCAACTCCACCATCCCTTTCCCCTCCCTTCCATTAGGCCCCTCTGTCCTCTCTGCAGTTTTATTTTTATTCTTGTGTCATACATACACGTGTGATTTTGTGTTTCTATATAATTTAGGGACCCTCAAATGAGTGAAAACATACTATATCTGTCCCTCTGAGAATGGGACTCAGTTAATATTTAGCTGCTGTTGTGTCTGTTTACCTGCAAAGCGCTGTGGCTTCTTTATTCCTTAGGGCGGAAATTCCTTTGTGTGTATTTGCTACATTTTCTTTAGTCATTTTCCTTTTGTTGAACACAGGTTAGTTTTTACAATGTAGCCATTATGAATAGTGCCATCAGAAAGGGAAAGGGGATTGCAGTGGGAATTGTTTTGTAATATTATCTACTTCTCATTAATAAAATATAAATTTTTAGTATATTTTTTAAATCTCAACTAGCTATACTATAGGTTTCATTAAATGCCCATTAAATCAAGAAACATAGGCCCTTTAAGATGTTCACATTATGAATGCTGTTGACATTTGGTGCTGATTGTTACGGTGTAATTTAGTTAAGAAGAGTAAACCTGAATCTCTGGATAAAGTTACTTTGAGATAGAAGTATGGTATGTCAGAGAGCTTGTCAGAGCCTTTAAATATCTTAACATTTCAAGAATATTTTAAAAAATTCTCTGATAATTTGACACAATATCTTTTGATCAGGTTCACTCCTAGTCTCCAACTCCTCCCAGATCCACTTCCACTTCCCTACCCACCCAACCTTGTGTCCTCATTAAAAAGTATACCATTAAGTCCAATATATGTTGATATATGTCGCCTTCCACTGGAGTCAGACTACCTATAAGGAGCCACATCTTTTTAAAAATGTTCTTCGGTGGTAGCACACGCCTTTAATCCCAGTGCTCAGGAGGCAGAGGCAGGTGGATCTCTGTGAGTCTGAAGCCAACCTGGTCTACAGAGCTGTTGTGGGAGTATCTTCTGCTGCCTCAGCCAATAGTCGCTGAAATACCAGCCCACTGGGGCGTGGTATATTTCTCTTTTAAAAAGAGACACAGATCCGGATCAGGCCCTCTTGGTTCCGGCGCTTGGTCCCGGCTCCTGCTCCAGCGACTATTGGCTGAGGCAGCGGAAGATACTCCCACAACACAGAGCTAGTTCCAGGACAGCCAGGGATACACAAAGAAACTTTCTCAAAACACCCTCCCGCTCCTCAACAAAACAAAACAAAACGGTTCTTCCTCCCCAGCAGCTGTCAGTTGATAGTAACTCCTCAGCTAGGGGTGGGGCTTCACACCCATCCTGTCCCGAGGCTGGCATTTCATCTGGCATGCATTTGCACGGGTCTTGTGCATGCTGTCACAACCACTGTGGATTCATCTGTGTCCCGACGTGTCTGGAGAACACCATTTACTTGTAGTTTTTATCCACTGCTTCTGCACTGCAGTCTCTCCACTGGTCCCTGAGAAGTGGGAGAAAGAGGCGCGATGACTTATCCAGTTCTGTTGGAGCAGGCTGCCGTCTCCTGCAGTGGGTCTGTGCTAATCACCAGCAACTATGAAAAGAAGCTTCTCTGATGGCGAGGACTGGGAGGTTCCTTAATCTATGGGTGTAGTGATAAAAACCTAGTGGGTAGTTTATTACTATGTCCATTTAGCAGAGTAATGGTGATAGATTCTTCCCTAATGCCTATGACCTAGCCAGTATCTGTTTTTCAATTCTGTTAATGGTACCAGGTATGAGTTCTGCATTGTGAATCAGGCCTCAAAACTAG